TATGTATTCACACATGTACTAAGTTTCCGGTTAATACAATTCTAGCATGAATAATAAACATTTATCACGATATAAGGAAATATAAATAACAACTTTATTATTGCCTCTAGGGCATATTTCCTTCATGCCGCACTCCGGCCAAACATTCCCTGGCTTGCGTGAGTCCACCAGCGAGAGGACGATGGATCTCTGTCACCGCTGGCCGGGCTTCGCCTAGTCGCCCCCTCCGGTGGTGGCGAGGGAGGAGGATGAAGAAGGGGAGACCGCAGTGGCGGCTAGGTTTTCCCTCCCGTCGCTCGCAGGAGCGACGGGAGGGACATGATGCGCTGGAGGAGGGAGGTGGCTGAAGGAGGAGAAGGTCTAGAGGAGAAGGAGGTATGTAGGAGGAGATATAGAGGAAGATGTCGCTGGTGGTGGGAGGCGGCTAGAGGAGAGCATAGACCAGCGATGGCGGCGACGACGATCTGTTCCCTATACACGTGAATGATCAACTGACATACTAGCTAGCTCGTGCATTTTACTTATCTATGCCTACCAATAAAGGGATTAGTGCTTCTGCCCGTCGACCACGAAATTGCCCCTAAAGTTGCAAAATATCACCCACTGATGCCACAAGTGACAAAAAACATTTTGCACAGGGGAGCCCTCCCCCCTCCCCCCTCCACATGTTGGGAGAAGACGCAGCACGCCCGTTTGGGCCGCCCATGTGCGGGCGTCCAGTTTTTTAAATTTCTTTTTTTCTTTTTCTTTTCCGTTTTTTTTCTGCTTTAAATAATTTGGGACTCATAAGAAGTTCAGAAAATTTTTAAAACGAGAAATTTTAAAATAAAATATTCAACAAATCATAAAAAATTGTGGATTCAAAAAATGCCGTGATTTTTAAAAAATATTCCCGATTTTGAAAAAAATGTTCAGGAAAAAATCTTCAAAATTTTGAAAAAAAAATGTGTATTAAAAAATGTTCAATAAAATATATTTGCCAATTCAAAGAAAGTCATGAATTTTGAAGAAGTCCTAAAAGTTTGAAAACAATTCTTAAATTACAAAATAGTTTCTTGACTCATAAAATGTTCGTTGATTCAAAAAATGATCATGTATTTCCAAAATTGTTTGTGTATTTAAAAAATTGTTCCACCAACTTTCAAAAAATGTTCGTTTATTCTAAAAATGTTTGCCGATTAAAAAAAGTTCACAGTTCTATTTGTTTCCTAATATTATAAAGGTTAATGAATTAAAAATGTTCATGATTTTTAAAAAGTTTGCAAATTTATGAGAAGTGCATCAGTTTTAAAAATGTTCACGATTTCAAATATCTTCATGGTTTTAATTTTTTCATGATTTTCAAAATTTGTTCACGATCCAAAAAAATATTCTCGAATTTGAAAAGATGTTCACAAAAAGAATGAGAAAAAAAATGGAAGTGTTTCCTATCAACCAGCGGATTGTTTGGGCACGTCTACCGTCTCCGCAGCCATTCGATCATCACTTGATCGTGCGGGGCATAGGAGCCGCCACACCATACTAGTGTTTTGCAACATTGGTCTATTGCAAAACTACCAAGCGCAACAAAGGGCATTTTGCGGAACGCCCAGCCCATCTACCTTCTCAATAGTTTGATTTCTTGCATCCCGTCCGCCGCCTCGCTTGCATAACACGTGTCCCACGTGACATGCCGTTAGCTCATGATGATTTTTTTGCAACTTCTGCAACAACACCAATGTTGCACAAGATTCTCCCATGACATTGGCTATGTTGCAAAAAGATGATTTTTAAAAAGAATTTTTGCAACAAAGTCTCTATTGCAACAACAATTCTGCAACAAAATCTCAGTTGCAAAAAAAATTCTGCAACAACACCTCTATTGCAGAAAATTTCTGCAACAAAACCCATGTCGCAATGATGAAGGGTGCCGATGCGCCAGATCTAACAGCCCGTGAGCCGGCTGATCTTTTTAAAAGATCACCCGGCGGACGCGTAGCAATCCCAAAAAAAGGAAGGAAGAAAAAGTAAAAAGAAAAAATAGAAAAGAAAGACGAAAAAGAAAAGAAAAGAAAAAACTAAGAAAAAAAGAGAAAAAACCGCGGAGGAAGAAATCTGAAAATGGGCCATCCAAAATTGGATCGATGGTAGGAGGGGGTACACGCGTCAAATAGGAAACTCCCATGCAGTAGCGGCTGGAAATATAAGTTTTAGATAGGGGAACCCCCCAACCC